ATTCCTCCATCCTTTCATGTGTCCAGGCCTGCTGATAGCTCTCAAGCAGCACATATTACAGTATTGCAGTGTGATGCAGGGGGCATGTTTGAATTTCAGCTTTAGGCTTGGTGCAATGACGAATACCCAAAAAGTATGTTATGATGGATTGAAGCCATTTGTGTCTCTACACAGTGTTTATTGCATCACTAAGGGATGAGGCTTCCCCACTCTACCCAATTATAGGTAACCCTGCCTTTTCACCGGGAACCTCGTCTGGCCCATTTAGATCCTTGATTGCCAAGAACCTTTTTCAGGCATCCCATTTTATACATGGAGACATGTGGCCTTCCATGGCATCCCTTACCGATCCTGACGGGATCTTTGGTCTAGACCAATGGAAAGCATTCCAATTAAGGCACTTCCTTCTTACCTTACCATCAGCGGCGTGCTTTGGGAGAGCGCGTACATCTTTTGAGAGACTGTGCGATTCCAGCGACCCGACGAGGCATACCCTATCGGAGATCTACGTAACCCTAGCAACGCCAACAGAACCTGGAAAACCTGTGTTCCTGACACGTTGGGAACGAGAACTAGGGAACAATTTCTCAGATGCCCAATGTCGGAATATCATCCATTTCACTATGCGATCATCGATCTGTACTAAATATCAGGAGACTAATTATAAGATCCTTACGAGATGGTATCGAACACCGGAGCTCCTGCAGAAGATGTATGGCGGAGTTGCCAATACCTGCTGGAGATGTAATGCAGACAGGGGGACTCTACTCCATATCTTCTGGTCCTGCCCAGCTCTAGCACACTTCTGGTCAACGATTCGCGACATTGTGAGAAAGTTCATGGACTCTGACTTACCATTGGACCCCTCAATTTTTCTGTTACATAACATTCCTATGTCCCCGAAAGCTTACTCCAGATCTGTAGTGCGTCACTTACTGGATGCAGCTAAATCCTGCATTCCTAGTCTTTGGAAGAATCCCTCTTCCCCTACCATATCTATGTGGATACGCAGGGTGGAGGAGATTAGGGTAATGGAAGACATGATTCTGTCTTCCCAGGATAGACAGGAACGGTACTCTAAGACATGGTTTTACTGGTTGGAGTACATGGATACTCCTGAGGGCCGAGCATACTCTGCATGATCTCCTCCCTTTCAATGGCTCACAACAGAGAGCCCAATGTGTGACCCTATCAATAGGCTTCCCCTGTCCCGCTGACCTGTTCCTCCTCTTACACACTTGCTTACTGGTCCTGCCCCCCCCCCCCCCCCTCTAGTCTGTCTGCCTTCTTCTTCATCCCTCTCCTGTCCTGATGTTGCCTAATGTCCTATCCCTCCCCGCAGCTCCTGGCAGTAGACAGGTGGACCCTGTGGTTTGCCCTCCTAAAACCTATCGAAACCAGGGCTTGTCATACACTACGACATATAAGATGTACATTGTGATCCCCCCAAATGCCTGGTTACATATGATGTTATGCTGTTACTGTCTGCCCTTGGCCAATTAAGAGATTGGGGCTAGACGATATCGCTATACTCGCTAAGATTGTATATGTACATCCTCATTCTTCGATTGTGTATGTGTTGTATGTTTACTGTAAAATGTTGGCTCAAAATAAAGAATAAAAAAAAAAACTGATATAAACTAGACACAGTGATCACCTGGAGAGAGTGTCGTAAGCTTTTTGGACTACAGGGGTCTGTATCCCCACTTATGCCGATGACCTCGACCCCCGGGATTTCCACAAGGTGCCTCCTCTAAAATATTCTCACTATGGAAAGGTAAAGGCTTAACACTCCAACATTTTTTATCGCCTCAAGGTACATGTCTCTCTTTTTAATATACTCCAACAAAAATATGGGATCCCCCCCACTCATTTCCTCGCATACTATCAGATTAGTAATTTTATTTGTCACAATCTTCCTGTCACCTCTATTTCCACTGGTCCCACCCCGCCACTCAGATTAATTCAACCCTCACCCATCAAACGAACACTATCAGTTATATATAGTGTCCTTCGGGAATATGATACATCAACATCCATCTCCTACCCCACGCATATACAAAAATGGGCCTCCTTTCTCCAACTTCACCCGAATGGGCAAGGTAACAGCGTCCCCTTAATGTAGATTAGCCAAGGAGCACTAGAGGCCATGGGTTAGTGGTTTTTTTTACAGGTGCAGATGTCCTATAGCATGATAATAGGAGGGAATGGAGTTTGGTCAAGCATATCGGTTGTAAATAAAAGGCTTCAGGCTTGGGTAGGGACATGAAAATTTTATTTTCTTACTGGCCTGGTCTTATTTATTAATGGCCTAGAATCTACTCCTGTAGCATAGTGTCTTCACTGGCTTTTACAGTAAATTTTTTTGAACGTTGTACATCTAAAATGCATAATGTGAACTGCTACTGGCACTGCTGCCACAGTGTCTCTTAACACACAGTTAACATTAACGCCTCAGCTGCGAGGCTCCATGAAAACTAATGAAGCCTGACGCGTAGGGAGTGAAAGGTCAGCGCCTGAACTTCCGCTGCGCTTGTGCTGTTTTGTTGTATGCCGCAGTGTTAACAAAAGGTGGAAGACTCTTCTTTCTGTGCCCGCCACACATTCTACACAGGAGCCAATTCCCTCCTGTTCGGTATTAACCCTGGGAAAAGGTCAGTAATACACCTCAGCGATTCCACATCAGGAGATAGGCGACATTTGATGTTGTAGAGAAAGAGAATAGGGGTTTCTTATAATTTATTCTGCTTTCCAGTCTTCCTGGAGCGTTTTCAAATCACTGGCATAGGCTTTGATAACATGGATGTATTTAATGTTCCTGTCTGGACTGGTTGGCAGCCATTTTCTTCAGCAGGCCTAGGTTCTGTTTGTCATTTTGATCTTTTGGTTAGCATTTTTTGTTTTAATAACTATGTCGTGGTTATGCTTCTCATAAAGGGACACTGTAAGTGGGGAAGGGGGGGAAACCACTGAAGTGCAGGCACCTACTTGCACCAGCCTCCTAAACGCTTGTGCAATGTCCTAATCTCAGGTCGTACTGACAGTCCAAGCTTTGGAACTTCCTTTCCTGTACATTCCTACTTTCTGCACATTCCTATTGACCAGTGTGACTGTCCATCAAAATGGTGGGCCAGTTGGAATGTGTAGGGCAGGGGTAGGCAACCTCAGCATTCCCATGTGTGATAAAAGTATAAATCCCAGCATGATATTTTACAATACTGGTTGGCCTATGACATACAATGATGTGTCTCAGAACTGGCTCAAGAGGCTGCCATTTTGTTGCTAAGCAGCTGAGCTGTACAGGAGCCTCAGTCACAGTTTGCTTGGCCTGCAACATCATCCAGGAGAGCAGGTCTTGTACTCTGGTTGTTAACCACTTCTGTCCTTGACACGGAGCCCAGCATTAATACTTTCCTTGGAGATCAATGTACAGAAGGTTAGGGGTGCACTGTTGGGGCATATAATAATACATTTGCTTTACTTGCCACTGTATTATAAAAAAATACACATTTTGATTGTTATTCCCATAACAAAAAAGTAACTACTTGGTAGTTTAAAAAGAAAACGTAAAATGCTCCCATGGTTTCCATGTGTATCAGCAAATAAAGGCTTTTTGCTATTTACCTAAACAGGTTGGAGAACTATGGGGAAAAGACTTAACCCCATAGTTCTCCTTTTAAAGAAAACCTATCTTTAGAACAGTATATATGGACATAGGTTTCTGATGAGAGATATTAGACATCACTGGGAGATAACTTTGCCTCATCATATATCCAATTCTGTGTGTGCTGGGGGTCTCTCAACATGAACCTCAACAACTCTTAAGTTGTCCACAATGCAGTACAGGCCCCTCTGCCACTTACTATGAAGCGCTCATATTACATTGATCAAAATCGATCAGGGCATAACTAAACTCCACCCTGTAAATAATGCTGCACAATTGGGCTGATTAACTAAAGGATTCAAGAATCTTTAAACAATAAATTGTGTGACTCTTCACTTTAATTATCCAATCATCTGCAGGTGAAATAGGTAAACAGAAATTTGCTTTAAAATTTAAATACCATTCTGAAGATTTATCACTCCAATCGGCCTCAGTGTCTGAACTTGGACCTACGGTATTTCTAACCATATTAAAAGAGCTTATGGGGACCTAAATCAATATATACACACAAATCCAAAAACGAATAATATCAAATCATTTAGTTTTAAAGAAGTCATGCAATAAAGCATATAACCAAATAAACACATAAATACAAATGATAACCTGCATTAAAAACTATTAAACACTCCCAATCCTCAAAAAAAATGGATCTATGACAAGACAAAGGTATGGTCCCTAATGCTGTCTCCCATAACAAAGGTATCCCCATTTAGATGGTAAGCCTTCAGGGGCAGGGCCCTCCTTACTATCTTGTCTTGAATTGTATTGTGATTGTAATGTCTTCCTTATATTGTAAAGTGCTGTGCAAACTGTTGGCGCTATAGAAATCCTGTATAATAATAATAATAATAATTTATACTGTGTGATCTAGTGACAGATTCAGGTCAAACACAGGAAATCATTCCAATATTAGACATGCCGCCATCCACAGGTGGAAACTTCCACTCTTGTGAAGCTGATACTTCTGCAGCTCAAAGTTAAAGCTGATCTCCAGGGAAACCACTAAATACACAAAAAATATATATGGGAGCTGTGTGATCTACCAAAGGATGTGCACAGCAGATGATGCTAACTATTTGTCCAGAGAACAGGCTAGTGGCACTGGAAGCTGAAAAGCTAAACCAATAAATAAATCTGAGTTTTATGCTTTAATAAATATATTTCTGGCAGTTTTTATTCTGACCTGCGTTTCCTTTAAATGTATGTAAAATGATATAGTAAAACTCAAAAATAACACAAAATAACTTTATAGGTAATAATATTTGGTACAAAAAATATTTGGTATGTATCTGCTTTCATGGGAAGTAATTTTTTTTTTCTCTTTTTGCTTTTTCAGGAACCTTACCCTACGAATATAAGATAGTGATTGCAGGGAATCATGAACTGACTTTTGATAAAGAATTCATGGCGGATCTTGTTAAACAGGATTACTACCGCTTCCCCTCGGTTTCCAAATTGAAACCTGAAGACTTTGATAATGTGCAATCACTCCTCACTAACAGTATTTACTTGCAAGATTCAGAGGTCACTGTGAAAGGATTCAGAATATACGGCGCGCCATGGTGAGTAAATACTTGATGATTTGGGTTGTTATTCTTTCTTCTTCTTTTAAATCCGTAATGGAGAGAACTATTTACATTTGATTACTCAGCATGTTTAGTGGCTCGCACAGGTAGCTAATTCAAGGGTTCTTTTATAGTGACAAAGCAAATAAGCATCTATCATGAAGTGGTTTCTATGTGTGTGTGTATATGTATATGAGGGAGAGGGAGAGAGGGAGAACGAGAAAGGTGAACAGTGGGCAGCTCAGTAGTGACATCACCAAATCTCACTTCAAACTCTCTGAGACTAGCAATCAGAAGCAGCAGTCCCTTAGATCTCACATTGCAGATATACAACTATTAGTATGAAGACACAGGGGTGCTGCATACATTTTCAGGGTACAGCTTAGGCACAATTAACATTTCTAGACATTCCCAACAAGAAACAAAATCTTAATTATTGAGTTCAGGTCCACTTTAGATATATCACTTTTTGCCAGGTGTTCTTCCAGTGCTTCATATCAAAGTGGTAAAAATTAAAGATGTGTTTAGAAAATAACTACATTGAGAAAAAAACGAAGTTATCGGCCAAGCTTTGGAATTTGTCCTACTTTTTAATAAAGTTATTTGGAGAGGATTATACAACATGTGTGTATAATCTGTATAATGTGTACAATTTGATGGACAAAACAGAGCATTACTTTGTAGGTTGTATTTACTTTTAAGCTTGTCCAAGAGTAACACGGTACCTTATGGTAGTATGCCTTTTAGACACTATATATCTCTGTTTGTGCAGGATTGTGTGGATAGACAATTAATTTTTCTTTTGCCGTACTTAGTAATATTTGGTCTGATTATTACTGTTGACCAATGGTGGTAATAATTGTTTTTTGTATTTCTTTACTAATAAATAATCCTATGAGGTTAATCCTGAAATAGTCAGTGCTTTGTGGATTTGGTTATGAAAGGAACAAATTCATGTTTTATTTCAAACACTGTGATGTCCTGCCATATATTCATTGGAACAAGTTGATTCACAAAACTGGAATACAGGAATCTTACATGAAAGGTTACTGCATTTTAGCTCTCTTGCTTTGCATTGTTTTTTTTAGTGTTTGTTATTAGGTCGTATTTTATTGAGCAAAATAGTTTTTGTGTTGCCTGTTGGCTTTTATCAGCTCTTTCATGATGCTGTATGTGTTCACTTCAAAGCTCCCATATTGATCTTCGTGGTCTCTTCAAGAAGCATCTGTATGTTTAGAAGGTATTAATGTCTTATTAACAGGCAGCTCCAAGCTACAACTTGGATGTACAGCATGGTAAAGTTTTCTTTTCTTTTTTAGCACTTTTCAAGTGCTTTATCGTGAAGGAATAAAACAATCCATACGTTCTTGTTAGTACGCCATCATGTTACTTGGCACCTCCACAGAGGAAAAAAATATTTGTTTGCCTGTCGTTGACCAAGAGGTGAATCACTCATGATGTACTAAAACGTTTTAGGTGCTAGAAGCATTTGGCTACATACATAAATATGTGGTGCCTTGTGGTGCATCATCCTAAGGGCCTTGCCTTCGAGATTTTAAATGGCAGCATTGCTTTAATCCCAGCTGAGATCACAGAAATAGATATTCAGTACATACACCCCCCATTTTCATAATCGCCCCTCCACTTTCCTGTTACAGAAATTGTGCACTGTGTGTAAGTATGACTGCACAGTCCAGTAGACACAATGGTTATGCTAGTGCACTCAGTAGTCAATGCTTGGTAACAGAACTGGCTAGAAACACCACATCCGCTTCTCTTCAATACCAGTCTGTGAGGACACTTGTTATGTGGATTGCAGCCATTACTCATGTAAGAAAAAAGTTATTATAAGACATTTCCAAGCAAAAAAATCAATCTCTGATCATAACATGTAAGGCTACAAGACTATAAAGAGCTAAAAAGATGTGAGACTTCAAATGAACCTTTACTTTTAAAATGACCTATGCTTAATATAATCTCTTGAATTTGCAACTCGCATTGAATAGCAGGCCCCTTGCTGATTTCCTTCGTTTGTAGATCCCCAGATGACCCAAACTCTGGGGCTTATATGCAAATGTCGACTGGGTTCTGTGGTCAGCACCTCGCTATTGGCGCATTGCTGTGATGGACAGCTTCAGTAACTAATAGTGAGAAAGGGGCAGAACAGAGCCAGTGACTATAGAAGTTGGTCACTCTTGGAAAAGTGCGCCCCTGTTTACGGGCATCCAGAGAGCACTAACAGAATAGAAATCCAATGTGTGGGCACTTGGAGGAGCCTACTATTTAGTTGAGGTGGCAGTATAATAAGCATTGATGCCTATTAGTCACCTGAATTCAGTCTGTAACTGTCTAGCTGCACCCACAATAGGGAAAACTATACGTATATAGACCTACATTCCAACTTTCTGAAATGAGAAAGAGGGACGCCTTCCAACGCAATGTATTTGGGCAATGGACACACCTCCGGCCACAACTTCAGTTATGTGGACCATTAAGAATTTATATGCCAAAAATGATTGTTTAAACCCAGAATTGTTGTTTTCCACTATTATTTTTTCTTTATACTGGCTTTTGGAAACAGCTTACCCTAAGGAGAACTATGGGGAAAAACACTGACCTCATAGTTCTCCTTTAAGAAAGAGGATGAAGGGTTTAGTGCATAATAACACTTTTGATGGTTAAATTGTACTTTTTCCTTGAATAGTACCTTAGATACTATTCATCAAACCAAAAAGAGGGACGACTGAGGAGGAAATAGGGACAGTGGGATTTTGTTCTAAATGAGGGACAGTTGGGAGATATGCATAAAAACTTGTATATCAAACTGTTTTTATATTAGGCCAAAAGCTTGTTTTTACTCAGCTCTGCTCCTTTGAAGATCAGGAGATGGCACTGTAAAAAATGGGACGTCTGGGTGTTATGGAGGGTTTTGCTTGGGTTGTGGTTTTTGGTTCCATGCATAAGATGTTCTGAAGGGACAAAAGTGGTTTGGTGCTTACCTGCCTGTGAATTAAAGCCTAGCTGCTCTATTCGGTTATATGCTTTTGTGTAAAATGTGTATCATCATAGTCCAAGGCCTGTTGTCCTGTTTGTTATATTGGTCATTACAGTGCTTCCAGCTTTTTAATGAAGGTTTTACAACCTGAATCATCTCACTGTGGAAAAGCTTAAGTGTATCTGTTTCTACTGAACCAAACTATTCAAGCGATTCATAGGTATTTATCCTTAAATTTGGCCCCTCTAGTAGTTCCCCGCGGGAGCATAATAAATGTGTACGAACTGGGTTTAATTATATGAAAGTGCAGAAATTGAACAGAGAGTTACATGTATTTCAGTGTAAAGGTCACCGTGACCAAATTGCTTTTTATAAATGTCTTGTTACTTTCTGAGTTTGCAGCCAAGTATGCAAATCTTGTAGGGACTTGATGGCAGACGCACCTGCCCGGGAGATACATTGGACTTTACCTTGAAATGCTTATATAATTTAATGACTGTTGTAATGTAGTGTGAATAGCTTAATTGGATTTACATGGTGACACAATGCAATGAGCAGTAGTGTTTAGGAACTTGTAGTAGCCAATCAGAACTCCTGTTTCAGGAGCACAGCATAGTATCAAAGGTTTGAAGGCAACTGTAGGTTATTGCTATTTGTACTGTGATGTTAAACAAGCCCATTGTTATAAAGCTTATCACGCATTAGGGGAACTTAAAGTGAACACGCGCTTTACCTGAGTGGTACAAAGCAACATGTTCACTTTAAAGCCCATATTTGCCTTTTACTTTGCCCCCCCTCCCTCCCCCCACTATATTGGCTGTCAAGAGTATGGAGAAGCCCTGTATAAGGTCCAATTTGATGGAATTTCAAACTTTAACGGACTAGTCAGAGCTTACGCTGGGCTGAATTTACTCTCCCTGTTTACATGTTGGAGGTACTGGGCAACCGATTCCCAGACACTAGCACTATCGCAATGGAGGAAGAGAGGTCACGTCACATGCTCCCTCATACTCAGAAGTATTATTTCTCTTCACTGCTGGTGTCAGGAGTTGCAGAGCAGCAATGGGAAGGTGAGTGTAAAGCTGGGTATAAACTAGTAGAATTTTTTCTGTTCAGGTTTTAGACTGAACTCAATCTCCCACTAAAAGTATTGGATGCAAGCGCTGTCCAGCCAATCATTTTTTGCCCGACTCATTTTATTTTTAATTGAAGGATGTTGGATGGGAGCCAGCAGACAGGGCGACGTACTGAGTGAATTTTAACCGGTTCATGAAAACCTGGCCAAAATTCGCTCAGCGTATAGCCAGCTTAAGGCCTGGTTCACAACTGAACGTTTTGTAGCGCGCTCGACGAACGCTCTACAAAACGCTCAAACATCTAAATCCCATTGTATTCAATGGGTCTGGTTCACACCTTGCCGTATTTCCGCCCATCCGAACGCGATACAAAACGGCCTACGCCCAAAGAAGTACATGTACTTCTTTGGGGCGTTTTGGTCTCGCGTTTCCATTGGGATACAGCCAAGTAGCCCTCGGAAACGGGTGTTTGTCGCGCGATTTTTCACCGTGAATCGCGATAAAAACGCGCAACAAACGCGCATATTCAATACGCCTAGGTGTGAACCCAGCCTAAGTGTATTTCCACTTTTGCTGTAAAATGTTAGAAAAACCCTCTATACATAACTTTGGGCAACCCCCTCCTACATAGGGGGAGGCTAGGTAGGATTTTTAAGCAAGTATATAACACTTAAAGATTTAAGCAGCTATTTTAAAAAAAAAATTTAAGTTATGCAATGTAAATAGGAACATACAACAAACATAAGATAGGTGTTATAATGCGGAAATACACTCGACGTGTCTGCAGGCACCAAATTTTAAAATAAACCTTTTACAGTGGTTTAGTGGTTAGCACTTCTGCCTTGCAGCACTGGCGGTCCGCAGTTCAAATCCCAGCCAGGACACTCTCTGCAAGGAGTTCTCCCTGTGCTTGTGAAAAGTCAATT